GGGGGGTCGGCGGCGCTCCCCGCAGACCCCGAGGCCCAAAGCAGGAGGCCCAGCAGCGGGACGGCCGCCTCCATTCTCGCCGCGCCCGGGAGACGAAGCCCCGCCCCTCCCCGGCTCTCGCTGACCAGTGGCAAGCCGGCGAGCCTCGGCAACTCCGCCTTCCTTCTCCCTGAAGCCAATGGGAGCTCCTCCTGACATTCAGGGTAACGTAGAGACAAGAAAAAAAGAGCGATGTTTCTTCTTTTTTTCCTTAGATAGGAATATTCCGAGTGCACAGGGAGAAGGCAACTCTTAAGTATGTCTCTAAATCAGTGTTTCTTAACTTCTCACTTTTAAAAATTGTGGAGGACCACAAAAGAGCTTTAGTTTGTATGGGTTACTTTTATCGATATTTACCATATTGAAAATTAAAATTGACATATTCGTAGAATATTAATTTATTGACTCATCTGAAAATAACGCTATTAAACCCATTAGATATTAACATATTTTTCATGAAAAAACCCTATGTTGTTTAACAAACAAAACATAGTAAGAGTGACATGATTTTAAATTTTTACAAATATCTTCAATATCTTGCAAATAATTCTGATTTTGTGGACCCCTGAGCGGGACTTGGGGGATCCCCAGAGATCCTCAGACCACACTTTAAGAAACACTGCTCTAAATCATCAGTTCTCAAAATGTGTCCTGGGAACCCCTGGGGATCCCCGAGACCCTTTCATGGGGTCAGTGAAGTCAAATAAAAATATTTTAACATTTCTCAGTTTTAATTTCTAATACAGTAAATACTGATAGCTATAACCCACATCAGCCAAAGCTCTTTGGGGTGCTCAAACATTTTTAAGAATGTAAAAGGGTCCTGAGACCCAAATGTTTGAGAACTGCTGATCTAAATTACAGTCACAGCAGGCAGCAGTGCTTAGCCAGCCTTGGCTTATTTTACAAGTGAGTCATCTTCATCATCATTGTGAAACAGCTAAGCTGAGAGGAGCCTGCTTAGTACTTGGGATGGGAGATCACCAGGAAATCTTAGGCGTTTGCACTAGACTAAGAATTGGGAAAAACAGTTAAACCACTTTTATCCTGTGGCTGAACAAACTACAGTAATACCTCGGTTCATGAACGCTGCTGTTCACGAACAATTCGGTTCGCAAACAGCAGCGTTCGCAAAATCTTGCTTCTGTTTGCGAACTCTGCATCGGGTGACGAATACGACCCGCGGCCATCTTCCCTGCTCTGACACATGGTCGTGGCTTCCTCTAGGCGAGATCGCGGTCACAGACAGATACTTGCTGTGAAGCTTTTTGGTGTTGCCTCAAGCAAGGCTAGTGTTCTCTCTCTTCATACTGTACTGTACTGTACTGTACTTTGTTTCATATTTTTGTGG